TGTTCCCTTGCTGGCGAGGAATTGTGGTCCTTTGGAAGAGAAGAGGTTCTGGTTTTTGGAGTTTTCAGCCTTTTTGCGCTGGTTTCTCCCTATCTTCGTGGATTTATCTACCTTTGGTCTTTGATGTTGGTGATATTAATACTATTCCTTTCTGTTTGTTAGTTTTCCTTCTAACAGTCAGGCTCCTCTGCTACAGGTCTGCTGGAGTTTGCTGGAGGTCCACTCCACACCCTGCTTGCCTGGGTATCACCAGCGGAGGCTCAGTTGGAAATGCAGGAATCACCTTCCTTCTGCGTTGATCTCGCTGGGAGCTGCAGACTGGAGCTGTTCCTATTTCGCCATCTTGCCAGCTACCTCCCTCTGTGATGATTGAGTGTCAACTTGATTGGATTGAAGGATGCAAAGTATTGTTCCCGGGTGTGTCTGTGAGGGTGTTGCCAACAACACCCTCCATTTGAGTTAGTGGACTGGGAGAGGCAGACCCACCCTCAATCTCGGTGGGCATCATTTAATCTGCTGCCAGCATGGCTAGAATAAAGCAGGCAGAACGTGGAAGGACGTCACTTCCTGAGTCTTCTGGCCTTCATCTTTCTCCTGTGCTGGATGCTTCCTGCCCTGGAACATTGGACTTGGTTCTTCAGCTTTTAGACTCTTGGACTTTGGCCACATTGAAGGCTGCACTGTTGGCTTCCCAACTTTTGAGGTTTTGGGACATGGGCTGACTTCCTTGCTCCTCAGCTTGCAGATGGTCTATTGTGGGACTTCATCTTTTGATCGTGTGAGTCAATATTCCTTAATAAACTCCCCCTCCCCTTTTTTTTTGAGACGGAGTCTTGCTCTGCTGCCCAGGCTGGAGTGCAGTGGCTCGATCTCGGCTCACTGCAATCTCCGCCTCCCGGGTTCAAGTGATTCTCCTGCCTCAGCCTCCCGAGTAGCTGGGATTACAGGTGCATGCCACACCACCATGCCCGGCTAATTTTTGTATTTTTAGTAGAGACAGGGTTTCATGTTGGCCAGGCTGGTGTTGAACTCCTGGCCTCAAAGTGATCCACCCACCTGGGCCTCCCAAAGTGCTGGGATTATAGGTGCGAGCTACTGTGCCCAGCCTAAACTCCCCTTCATATACACATCTATCCTATTAGTTCTGTTCCTCTACAGAACCCTAATATACAGTGTCCCCACCTAAATTCTACATTCACAGATTAAAGGTAGATTAAACTCCTTCCTCTTTAGGAAGTCTGCTCAGCTCCTCTAGGGAAGTATCTCTCTCATTAGGGCTCTTCTCCAAGCAATCTAGATGTCAGGAAGCAAACCTACTGAGCACGAACTACAGCAGGGGTGTCCAATCTTTTGGTTTCCCTGGGTCACATTGGAAGAATTGTCTTGGGCCACCCATAAAGTACCCTAACACTAATGATAGCTGATGGGCTAAAAAATGATCAGAAAAAAACTCATAATGTTTTAATTAAGTTTATGAATTTGTGTTTGGCTGCATTCAAAGCCATCTTGGGTTGCATGCGGCCCATGGGCTGCGGGTTGGATAAGCTTGAACTACAGTATGGTTTCAAGGGAGTAATTTGCATCTACACTTGAAATGTAATCCATAGGGAATTTGCAGCTAAATAGGAAACCTGTAGGCACGACCCTGGAATAAACTTCAGTAAATTGCTTCACTTTTCTATGGCAGGTTTCTTCAGCAGTCAAAATGAAGGGGCTGATTTAAATGGTACCTAAGGTCCTTTTGGCTTTGACTTTCTGTTGTAACAGCATACTATTACAGTTGCTGACCTCATTCTTGCTCAGAATTGGGCTGAACCCATGTAAATCAAGACCTCGAGGCTGGGCACGGCGGCTCACGCCTGTAATCCCAGCACAAGACAGGTGGATCACCTGAGGTCAGGAGTTTGAGACCAGGCTTGTCAACGTGGTGAAACCCTGTCTATACTAAAAATACAAGAATTAGCCAGGTGTGGGGTGGCATTTGCCTGTAGTCCCAGCTACTCGGGAGGCTGAGACATGAGAATCGCTTGGACTTGGGAGGTGGAGGCTGCAGTGAGCCAAGATTGCCCCACTGCACTTCAGCCTGGGCAACAAAGCAAGACTCCGTCTCAAAAAAAAAAAAAAAAAATCTTATTAACATATTGTTTCCGATATGGTTTGGATCTTTGTCCCCACCCAAATCTCATGTTCAATTGTAATTCCCAATGTTGGAGGTGGGGCCTGGTGGGAAATGACTGGATGGGGGCAGGTTTCTCATGAATGGTTTAGTACCATCCCTTTGACACTGTCCTTGCGATAGTGAGTTATCGTGAGATCTGATCATTGAAAAGTGTGTGGCAACTCCCCCAGCCTTTTTGCTCCTGCTCTGGCCATGTAATGTGCTTGCTCCTCCTTTGCCTTCCACCATGATTGTAAGTTTCCTGAGGCCTCCCCAAAAGCTGAGCAGATGCCAGCATCATGCTTCCTGTACACCCTGCAGAACTGTGAGCCAATTAAATCCCTTTTCTTTATAAATTACCCAATCTCAAGTATTTCTTTACAGCAATGCAAGAACGGTCTAATAGAGTTCTAAGTGCATCCTTTCTAAAAAATATTTCAATGCATATTAAGCAATTTGTAGTTATAATGGACTCCACCAGCATTTCCTAGCTTCTTCAGAAATCTGAGTGCAGAACATCCTCCATTTCAACTGATTTTAGTTCAGCACCAAATCCAGATATAAAAATATTATCTACTCAAATTTAAGTACATCTTTAATATTTTGCATAATAGAACAATACAGCAGGAAAGACTACTAAGGTAATTTAGTCTAATACACTCTACTTAGTATAAAGAAATATGTTCAGAGAGGTTCAGGTGACACCTATGGTCATATAGTTAGACAGAAACAGAGCAAGGGCTAAGTGTCAGATCTCTTTACTCCCTGTGCAGTGTTTCTACTCCATGTTTGCAAATGAGCTGCTGTCTAGTTTCATATAACTTGATAATCTGCCAGGGTAATTTTCAAATCAAGTTTCTATTACCAAAAGGAAATTACCTAGTTAAGGAATGTTCACTGTCTGGGACGAAAGGTAGATCAATTGTTGCAAACAGTCATTTATCTACTCATGTTGGTTGTTTTGAGTCACCTAATGGGTAACATTAAGAATGAGGGACCATGTATGGATTCCTAGAAGAATATATCCCAATCCAGAAATACTTAAAGAAACTGTCCCATCAAACTGTCCTTAGGACAATATGAAATTTAAATGAATTTAACTATAACTTCAAAATGGAATATCCTAATTTTGCAATTCTAGTTTAGTGCTTAAAACTCACTCCTCTTTAGATGGTAATCAAAAACTCAGAATTTAGATTGTAAAAGTTTATTGATATGGTCAAAAAGCAAACAGCCAGACATTTGGTTATCTTTGCCACTACAATGTGTCTTTCTGAATTGTATCTTAAAAATGCATAACAAATGATATTTAAACCATTACTAGAAAAGTAAATGAAGAGTCTACTTAAGGCACTTCATATGAAAGCTAATTCAAAATTTTCACAAAAGTAACACTATTTTATAAGTGTAGTAAATTAGCTTTCTACACATTTTAGCCAGAATGCTGCCTTTCTCCTTACAGAAGAATGTGCTCTTAAAGGGAGAAAAAGCAAATACAAAAAACTGTCATTCTGTCAATGTTCATGTCAAATTATCTGGAACTATACAGATTACATGGCAGTAGTATTCCTGTGGTGAATCTGTACAAATCAGGGCATCTTCATACAAGTCTCATAAGAACCATAGCATAGATTTGGCCTGAGACAAGTACAAGAATAGCAGGTAAGGAATTCAGAATCTCACAATTTACAGGTGAGTAATTAACAAAAAGTGGCTGCTCCATTAAAGAGTAAAAGGTCAACCATATCCCCTCATCCATGAAATCTAGTAATGAAAAACAAAAAAACCCACATAAAATATTTCTTCTAAGGCTACTATATCCATCTCTTTCTGCAAACCACATGGCAGGGTTATTAGAAGGTAAATAGCAGGTGGCAGTCATAGTATCTTTTTAATGTAATACTTGTAAGATTTCCTTAAAATTATTTTTTCACAATTACAATTATCCTATTTCCACAACAGTGGCATTTCAGGTTACTCTTCACAACTATGGGGAGGTTATAGTTAGATATAATGATAACCACGAAAACATTCTTCACAGAAATTTGGTTAGCACATATGGTTATTTCCACCGACAAAAAAAAAAAAAAAAAAAAA